ACATGTTAAGAATGATGCCCGATACCATGTTAAGGATGAGAAACATTGGGATTAAAAGTCTTTCTCTTCTCCGGCTCTGACACATGTGAAGAATGATGCTCTGCTACCATGTTAAGGATGAGAAACGGTGGGATTAAAAGTCTAAGCTTCATTAGTGTTCGCCGTTTAAATAAGATACAAACTACCAACTTACCTCTAAAAAATGAGAGAAAATATACTATCAACCAATTCCTAAATATAAGGAAGAATGCTAACCCGTTACAACTATCTAAAATATATTCATTAACTAAATTTATATGATATAAATCAAATTTCTTAATAATAAGAAGTTTTGAGAGTAGGTATTCAAATTATACCGCTTGAAACACATGAATCCTTGGGTATAGTTTTCAGACCATATCGTAGGGCCCTAGATGCAGGATAAGACTACGTTGCTTGGAATACATGAAGCTTTCAACGTAGGTACAAACTGTGTCACTTGGAACGTATGAAGCCTTGGACACAGTTTGCAAGTTCATGACTCGTACCATAAATCCTAGGGACAGTGTCTTGGAGAACGAACCAAGAACAAAACAAGAACCTAGAAAGTAAGTGTAATGACCCTAGATTTCTACTAACTAAAGTTGTTGCCATCATCATAACCTATGCTTTTATGCAAATTAAATCTTTGAAACTTCATCACAAAACATTGTCATGAACTTACATGTTCAAAAGCATCTTTAAAACAACTTAAGGAAATCTAAATAAAACAGTAAAACATTAAAAATAAAAACACCCTATACTAACCTAAGACTAAGAAAATAAAATACTACTATCTCATGCATGTGCCATGGTCTCTCCTTGTATTTTCGTCGTTAGCCGTACATGGATGCCTTTCCATTACCAGAAATAGAAGTAGCACACGACTTGAGTATTTTAAAAAATAATCAGTAAGTGATCCCACTATCGGGGTCAGGGAATGCCAACACATGCAACTCATGTTCGAGGGACCTATCATTAAAACCATCATAGGGGTGACATCCAGTCCGGACAAAATTTGATGTGTATACCACCCCAAAATTTGATGTGTGCACCACCACCACCACCACCACGCCCAAATTATACATACAAATACCACATACGCACACACAAACACAAACTCCTCAATCAATCAATCAAACTCAGAATCATCTTAATATGGAACATCATCATATTAAGTCATTTCATCATCATACATCTCGCATCATCTTATAATTATGCATCATCATCATCATGTTAACATCATATAACATCATCACATCATTATCCAACGCCGTCATGTCATCATTTATCATCATCATATCATTATCTAACGTCATCATGTCACCATATAACTTCATCACATCATCATGTAACCTCCTCACATCATCATCTAAAGATCATAAGTTAGAATTCTACGCCTATAACAACTTGAAATTTTCTACTTAATTTAAGGTCGCTACTGTATACGTACCATAAACATTGAATGCGGAAGACTTCAATAAATATAACCCCACTATCATCTTTCATGCTTAACATGTCATTTCTCATTTTTCAGTCTGCGTATCATACATAATCCTAATGGTGTTACATTTCATTTCATTTATCGTGATATCATGTCCTTCATAACATGTTGTATACATACAATTTAGAAAACATAACATAACACTTCATGCTTTTAACATGTCATTTCATAACGTGCAATTCATACAATAATTACCTCAATGGTCACACAAAACAATCTAAACATAACATATCACATCACAATATATCGTATCATAAACCTGTCATATCGTAAACACTTCGTGGTCATATCGTTCCCTAACTTATCATAGCCTTAACATTCTTATACCTATCACAGTCATATCGTCTCGTGAACGTACCTTAGTCATATATCATCACAGGAACGTATCCTAACGCTATCGTTCTATCAATCTATCACAAACCTATCCCTTTCTACCCATATCCTAACCATATTCTTTCATCAATCTTCCCTATTCATAGCACTCTGGTATGTAACCTAACCTTAACGTTTCATGAACCTATCTTACTCATATCGTTACATTTCGTTTTGTGCATCATTCTCATATCCTATCTCAAACATATCCTTGAATACATCGTACCATAATTATTATCATACAATTCACATATTATAACATAACATAAACATAATATAAGCATACCGATTCACAGATAATTCATACATATCAGTATATATGACACGTGTAGAACCACGAGCACATGTCAACACCAAATATAACCATGCCGATAGTAAGGCCACTTACCTGGTCAGCTTAAGTTGTTGTCACCAATATATTCTTAATGGAAGTTCGATTCTATCCTTTGAAATCCGAGTCAACCTATGTGAGCCCATATCATCAGTTTCAAGTTGGAACTCTCTAAAATTATTTCTCTAATTTACATTGGTCAATTCTTAAAAGTCTTGAAAGGTTATGTATCTATAATTATATTTTTATTAAAAATCTTATTTTCCTTGGTTATGTTGTATAAAAAGAAGTAGATAGAGTTATTTCAAGTACTTCTGTGTTTTACTGCCCTATGTATTTACTTTTCTCTCTATATTTAGTTTTTATTTGTATTCACTCTGTTGCCTTTTAATAGGTTGTTGGTGTATTCCAAATTTCCAGTGGATCCCTGTTTCCAAATCTTTCCTTTATCTCAGTGTTTCCTATTCACAAATTTTATTGGTTATTCTATTTTTAATCTATTCATTTGACTACTAATATAAATTTAATCTAATATTACTCATTTGACGTGATTTACTCGAACTAGTATAAATGATTTACAATTAGTTTCTAACTCAAAGCTAAACTATTGTAATAATTTAATGAAATCTAACGTAGCTGTGATCTCTAAAAAAGAAATAGGATAAAAGAAAATAAAATTTTAATATATATCTTATTAATCTGATCTATCTTCAGGTTAATCTACTGTGAATCTCAACTGAGTAAAGGCCATTGTCATCCACAATTGTTGTTTTTCTGTTTCTTTTTGCAGTAACTGATAATTGTGGGAAGGATGAGAGGTTAGTGGAGAGGAGTGGGGAAATGTTGTTTTTCTTTTTTTTTTTGTTTATTTATTTATTTATTTATTATTATTATTTTTTAACCTTTTTATAATTATTTTTATTTCTTCATTTCTTTCTTTATTTCATTATTTATTTATTTATTATTATTATTATTATTATTTGGCTATTACAACTACTACTATTGATACTAGCTTAATATTACTCTCTCAAATTTAATTCTACCTAATTAGTAGTTCAACCATCTTAAGTTAGAATTCTAGTAAGGGAATTGATTCGCTAGTTTGCATAAAATAATTTAAATTTGCTCCTAATGATTTAAACTAGCTAAGCCTAATTATGCATAAATACTTTAAACTCCAAAAATTTAAACTAGCTACTAAGTAGTCATACTAATCTTAAAACGTTTCGAAAAATTAAAACTAAGACGAAAGGGTTCGAGCGTATCAAACTCGAGTCGGATCAGTCAAAATGATGGCATTGAGCGGTTAGAAAGATTACTCTCCGAATGGAGTTGAAGCATTTAAATGAGATGCTAAAATGAAGTGAGGGACCTCCCTCTTGTGGAAGCCAACCCCACTGCTCACCAATGATAAGATAATGATCAAGGACTAGAACAAGGATCAAAATCCAAGTTCTAAAGACTAGAACCAAGGTTGAGACCTCAGAACCCACTAGTCAAGAATAGAACTTAATCACCCAAGTACTTACAACAAGAACCAAAACATGAAGATAAATAGTGTGGTACCCTAGCATATCAAAGAGCTTACAAAGTCTTTGTACTCACTCCATGTTTTTCATATTTTTCCAAGTAAATAAGGAGCTAAGGTTGAGAGCGGACTCTAGAGTAGGTGCCATAGACAAGCCTCACTCGTCGTCCTCCACACCCTTTTGCTTTAAATGTTTTGTGTATGTTCCTTATTCTGTCTTTTAACGGTTAAGTTGTGTTTTTATATAATAATGTATGACTTTATTGTGATATAATATAATTATAATGTCTACTACGTTTTAAATTCTCTTTGTTTTATTTTATTTTATTTCGCAAAAAAAATTGTCCGTCCTTTTTAGAGTCATCCAAAACCGATCCTTACATAACAAATGTGTCAAGAAGCACATCCTTACAGACTTATTAAGCCGAATTTGTTCTTTAAAATTGAGGTTGTATTGAGCTTTACAACCGGGTCATTTTACACCTTTAGCTTAACCTCAATATTCAGAGAACTTCTCATGAGGAAGTCGAGAGCAAAGAAGGTCTGGATCAAGGTAATCAAATGAGTGAAGATTTGGATATATTTTCGATTATGAGAATTTGAAAGCCAAACTTTCGTAACTTGGCTTATGTCATTTGGGGAAACCTTTTCCTACGATTTCGTGGCAACAAACGAAACATGTTTCATCAAGAGATAGTAAGTTAAAAGTCAATGAAGCATAAGAACAAATACGAGCTTCAAAAGTCGGTACCTAACCCAGAAAACACAAACTTTGAGCATTTAAATTCTCCCTAATTTTTTAATGATAAAGCTCGTAATTGGTTTCATTGTATTCCTAGGAAGTTCTACAACTTTATAGTAAAACTCACGTAGAATGAATGCCTTAAAAATATAAACTCAAGTAACATTTTCAATCACTAGAATTTAAAAAAAATGATAAGATCCATATAGTCTATCATCATTACTACAAAAATAACCTCTTGTGTAATGGAGCCAACAAAATTATGATTGATTTACTAGCTTATTTATTTATTTATTTTTATTTAAAGTTTTTTAAATATATAATTGTTTCGTTAGCAAGCCAAAAAGTAGTATGATTATATATATATTTTATATATTTAGTTCATACTTATATTTTATTATATTTAAAACAAAATGTATTTAAAACTTAACCTTCTTGCCGGTAAACAAAAAGTCTATTATTTATCTTTTGACACTAGTACATTCTTTTCATATTTGATTATAACCCGGTAAACAAAAAGTCTATTATTTATCTTTTGACACTAGTACATTCTTTTCATATTTGATTATAACACAAACTCTCGTCTCTCAAAATCAAAATAAGTGTAATCTGAGTTTGAGAGACATATTTGATTATAACACAAACTCTCGTCTCTCAAAATCAAAATAAGTGTAATCTGAGTTTGAGAGAGAGGTTGTGTACACCAAGACTATTTTGATCATGAGCAACCACATCCCTTTGCTCCAATCCGAACACCTTTCACGAGCAGCCCTCTCTTCCAATGCCCTTCATGTTCATAAAAGGCAAACTCGTGTCGCCACTACTTCCACAACCATGGTTACCTACCTTGAACTCAACAACAATCTCAAACCACTGGTTTTGTGGCTTCCCCAACAGGCATTCCTGACGCACTATCTTGCTCCCATCTGGCTTCTTCAATTCGATGTTCAAAGGAACATTCCACCCGGAGGCTCTATTATTTAGCTATACCTGAAGTGCTACTTCATACACAACATTTGGTGAGAGCATAGACTCATTGATCTTTCCACGAATATCCAGCCAAGATACTTCAATAAGTTCTGCAACGTCGCTATTGCCACTGCAAGTTTTTAGACACTCGAGTGAGAGATCAAGATACTTCAATAAGTTCTGCAACGTCAGCATTCTTCAAAATAACATCCAAGCAGTGACCAAGGTTCACTACTCCTCCTAATTTCTCTCTCGCTTCCTTCTCTTTGTCCATTACTCCATTTTAACCTTACGGTCATATAAAAGTTTTGAAAGATTTTACTACTTTAAGAAAATGAATTAATCAAATGGTTATTTTTTATTATTTTGTGTGGATGAATGCATTTTGCCTATGAAATTTATTTTTATATAAAGCTAAGAATAAATTATAAAAAAAATAAAAAGTCCACAAATTTAATTTAGAATATGAACTATTTATGCCTTAAAAAGAATGTTCTCGTGTTTATATTACTTTCCATTTACGATGAAAAGACATTTTAATTCTTTTAAAAGATATATTTTATTTTCATTTATATTTGTGTTTTGAAAAATAATTAACAATTTTTTTTTATACAAAATAACATATATTTTAATTATTTATAAAAAAAATAAAACACTTTATTCTATTTTATTTTTAAGATTACTTTCAAATAATACTTTAGCCCATTATATCTCATTTTTGTATGAAACATTAATTAAATATAATATTTTGTTAGTTAATAAATTATAAAATATATATTAAATAAAAAATCTATTTGACGTACCAAGAAGATAAAACTAGAACGTTATAATTTTTTTTCTAGAGTTATTTTATTTAGACTATCGATTTTTAAACAAACCAATTTTTAATAAATTTAGTCTTAAAAATTTATAAAAATTGAGCATACATTTTTTTTTTTTCTTGGGACAATGTGATGTTTGATACTTTTATGAAAGTTAAAGATCTCGTTTATTATATTTAATATAAAGAATAAATTAAATAAATATGATGATAGGTTGAATGAGTATATGACATTTATTTGGAATTATCTCAAAAGAATATTTTGGAGATATTGTTGATGACGAATACTTTATTCGTATAGTATAAATATTAGGATCAACTTTAATTTTATTTAAAATTAAACTAAACCGTAGATACAATTTTTTAAATATTTAATATATCAAATACAATAAATATATTTTTCTTGTTTTATATTTAATATATCTAAAATATTAAATACAATTCAAATTAAATATATTTTTTTACTTCAAATTAAATATGTTTTTTTTATATTTAATATACCTAATATATTAATTATTAATTTCAAAAATTCGAGAAATTTTAATTAAATTGATTCTTTTTAGCGTTAATAATGAGATTTTATACACCTATAGAATATAAGCTCTCCAAAAAAAAATTAATTAATTAAATTGTTCGATCAATCAATTTTCATTCATTAATTATAAATCACTGCAAGTAGATATGGAGTTGCACTTTTATGCACAGTAGAACATGTTATGTCCATTAATATATTCATTATAAATAAGCGATTCTTCACGAGTTGTTCATAATTACAGCTCGGTCAAAAGTACGTTTGTAAAGACTCAAGATTTCTACTTACCTAGAGTCGCTAATATCATGATAACGTAGTCATTTTGTGCAGAAATAAGTGTTTTAACTTTATCATAAAACATAAATTTCATCTTAAAACACTGACATAGAATTACTTGTTCGAAAATATTTTTAAAACTCAACGAAATATTAAATGAAATACATAAACATTAAAAGTAAACACCATATTCGTCCAAGTCTAGGAAAATAGATAATATCTTATTCATGTGTCATGGTCTCGAGATGGAATGTAATAAGTCTTAGAGATGTAAGTTTTCAGACTATGCTGGTTGGAACGTATGAAGTCTTGAGCATAGGTATTCAGACTAAGCTGCATGTAACGTATGAAGCCTTGGGCATAGGTATTGAGGTTGTAGGCCAGCCGTGAATGCAAGATTAGACTACATCGCTTGGAACGTTAGAAGTCTTGCATGTAAAATTTTGAGACTACACTGCTTGAATAGTGTTAGAGTGATGTTTGCTTGGATCATAAGGACTTTTTTTTAGCTTTTATAATAATCTATCCGCTCTTGAGAATTGATATGTTCCTTTAATTAAAATTTTAAAATCAAGAACAATATATAATTTTTTTTTTGTTCCATCGACCAAAGGTAACTAATTATTATTATTATTATTCATTACATTTTTTAGGCTGTGATGGATGAATGTATTTTCTCTATATGAAATTTATTTATTTTTATATAAAACTAAAAATAAATTATAAAAAATAAAAAGAAAATAATATATATTTTAATTATTTATATTAAAAAAAAAACACTTCATTCTCTTCTTAAAAAAAATAACGAGACTTTTGGAATAATACTTGATACAATTATATTTCATTTTTGTATGAAACGTTGTTTAAATATAATATTTTGTTTGTTAATAATTTATAAAACTAGAACAGTTTTTCTTTTTGTAAAGTTACAAATTTTTTCTAAAGTTATTTATGAGTTGATATTGTGCACATTTATTATTCATATAGAAAGACTATTAATTTTTAAAGATATCTATTTTTAATAAATTTAGTCTTAAAATTTATAAAAATGGACTTTTTTTTATTATTATTTTTTTATTTTTTATAATGTGATGTTTGATACTTTCTAATTTATGAAAGTTAAATAAAAAGATCTCGTTTTATTTAATATAAAGAATAAATTAAATAATTATGATGATGTGTTGAATGAGTATATGATTGTAACACCCGCTCATCGTCAACGCGATTAACAGGAGTTACCATCGACAATAATAACAAACTCTGATATCCAATCATAAAACTCAAAATATTTCTAAAAACATCCCGTAAAATATTTATAAAAAAACAGTACTTTTAAAAACTTAAAACGACCAAAGTAAAGTCTTGACAACGAAAACATAATTACATAAACAGACCCAGACATGGATTCCCAGTAGTCTCTAGCCCGCTGATCTCGTCCTCGGTTGGCCTGCATCATCTAAATCTGGAAAGAAAAGTTATAATAATTTTGATGAGTAATTAGATTACTCAGTAAGTAGCTAGCTTATCATTCAAGAGTTCATAACTAATCTTTCCAGGTGTTTTTAAGTTTTATTCATCATTGACTCCTAGTTCTCTTACTAGGGTCATCTGTTCATTATGAGGTATCTCAGCTACCTCCAGCTAGGTTACTGACTCTCTTTCGATATGCTTATCTAGAATTTTCGAACTCGTATGTAAGACTCGCTCTCGGTCAAATACGGCCCGTCTACTAATTGCTCTGGCGGTCTGTTTATCTCATATACCAACGGTCAGGAGTACTCATGCTCCCTGACTTAGCACACAGCGCGTTGGCCAGGAACTCCGCGGGAATTAGTAGACTATCATACTCATATAAATAAGCCATAGCTCAACAACCAATAAGCATATCTAGAGTCATAACCTTTCCATTAACATGCATAACATACTCACAGTTACTGCATGCTTTCATACTGTATCATGTTCAACACATAGAACATTCTGACAATCATTTATATCATGTTTACATCACAGGCAAGCAGTCACACTATACAATAAACACTCAATATCATCAAAGCTCATCATAACATACTAAGCTCTTAATCAGGTAAACAACACACTCACATGTTGTAAAACAAGTTAAAAACTAGTTCATAGATCGATACGCTACTTACTTGGTTTCGAACTCCTTTTCCCCCTTGAATGTACGTTTAATAGTATTTCACACAATTCCTTCCTATTAGACCTATATTTTATCAATTTCAACATAAGTATAGACCAATTTTGATAGGACAGGTCAAAAGGAGTCGAACGGGACAAACCGGGAGCCAAAATACCTGCTCACGCGCCCTCACGCGCCAACACAAGGTCGGGGTTCGTTTCTCACGCGCCTCATCCACGCACAATCGCACTTCCACTCGCGGCCTCCCACGCGCCTCGCGTGTCCTTTACGCGCTCGTCTTCAACCTCTCCTCCCTGCAATTTTTCCCAATCTTTTTCCTTTAATACCCGTTGTGTCCCGAAGCAAAAATTTCATCTCTACAGCTCGAATTTCGTTCTGATTTCTTCTACAACTTTATAGATCTTCTAACTACGGTTCTAACAAGCCTTATTTCATAACTTATTATGCAGTATGAATCAAGATATCGAGATTTAAAGGTTTGGTGATATGGTTTTTTTTTCGTTACCTTCGAATCACCGTCCGATTCAGCTCGTGGCCATATCCCCTTCCTCAAAGGATTCCTCAGCAACAACCCCTCTTCCTTTACCCTCGATTGATGTCCAATTTTAAGCAACCAAAACTCGAATTCTAAAAAATTTCCTCCTCTGTTTTCTGGGTTTTTCGCTAATCACTATTCTTCGTTTTTCTTCCTTTTTAAAACCTAATCAAGGCCCTAATACGCTTCCACATCCTCTAATGATCCACTCATCAATCCCACGCCTCCAGCTTACGCGTCCGCCGCTCCTCATCCCCTTTACAGCAGCTGCTTGACGCAGCTGCTTCGATTTTTTTTTTTTTAATTATTATTATTATTATTATTATCATCAAACACACAACAAATAAATACAAAATACATATTATCATTATTTTAGGTTGTTACAATGATATTTATTGGGAAAG